CAGGTTTTGATCCATGAATAACGTGTTCAATTCGATGTAACAATTCGACGTAACAATCAGGAGTTACAGGTGCGAATTTAGGATGCAACCCGTTACAGATCGAAGATTGGTAAGACTAGATTAAATTTGTAGGTCTTTGTCCGGTTGACATCTCTGATATGACGACTCCAAAACTATAGATGCCTAATACTTGTGTGAATAGCTCTCCTTGTAAGACTTCTGGAATAACTTCGTAAATAATACGAAGCAGTTTCACTTTCTCCTTATACAATCCTCAATCTGAGACAATAAATTTGCTAATATATTGTCGCCGTGAAAGTCTACATGAGTGTATCTTGCATCACGAATACCTAATAAAAACTATTGAAATATTTGAAGTAGTCTTAATTCAGAAGATTTGAAAATTTTTCTTAAGAAATTATGAAGACTTCCATTATTCGCATATTGAAACAACGTTATATAAACATTTGTTTTCGCATTGTGAGTTCAATCAATATATTCTAAGTCCAACACCATTTATTTTATATTTATGAGACTGACAAATTTTATAAATGAATTGGTTAAATTTTTATTTAAAAAAAAAACTTTATAATTAATAAGAATGATGGTTCACGAGCTCTTGTAATACCAGGTTCACAATTATTCGTATACCATTTAACCAGAAATCCTTTGCATAGTTTGTCATATGGAATTAATTCATTAACACGCTCGTATTGGTTATTCTTTATTGAAATCATTCATTTCTTTTTTTCATCTTTCCTTTGATCGTTATGTCGTGATCGTATGCCTTGCACAGCCCGGTCTCCTTGGCAAAGAATAAAGATATTAGTAACTTTGATCAACCCTCGCATTTCTGTTTTATATCTAATTTTTACACCATTGGTTGACTTAAAGACTTGAACATTTGGTTTTCCGAATAATAAACGCTGGCCACAACACTGGTTTTCTCTCTCGACTTAAAGACTCGAATGCAAAGAAACTTAAAGATTCCTTGCACGCCATTTATTCAAACTTTTCCAAAAACAAAAAATTTTACCCATCTTATAAGCTACATTTCAAAATTTGGAGTATATTGTTAAATTTAAAGAGATAAAAGAAACAAGCCCAAGATCAAACACGTGTT